AGAACTAGCGATTCACATCTTGCAGCTAAACCTGTTCGGCCAAGTCCCCGGAACAGGCAGCGCACGATACCCCCTCAAAAAGAAGAAAAACGAGGTCGATGATAAAAGCGACATTGGCTTGAAAGCAAGTGATGAAACAGAAAGCGAAGCACCAAAATATAAGTTAGCTAGCCGATATCGGTAATTTCCATTCAATTTTGCATTTACCTTAGCTTGAATCTGAGTACAAATTTGGACGTAGAAATGAAAGAAGTGATGAACTATTTTCCACTCGTTCGCACACACAGTCACCTCTGCTTGCAGAAGCGTGCGCGCGTACCACGTGTTCGCGTGTTCGTGTAGGCGCGATTCACATTTTCAAAATGAAAACAATTTTACGGATTAAAAAATGTTTGTGAAACGCCTCGACACGGACTATTTCAAGGCGGACGAGAAACGGCTAACGAGAAGCAAGCACTGAATCAAAATTATTAACAAAAGCAACGAGAAATAATGACAATAAAGGTAATAATATAATATATATAAGGTCTTTGTTAATAAAATAATATTTATAAAATAATATCGTCCGATGACAGAGAGCTAGAATAAGAATGATGAATAATGATAAACAAATAATTTTGAACGGAAAAAATGAAGAAAAAGAATGAACAAGGAAAAAGAATGATAGAGCAATGGAAAAAGGGAATAATAAAAGTAGACCTAACAATAAAAAATAAAACCTTATGATGGCAAGGAAGAAGAATCAGGATAATGAATAATTTTATTGTTTAGAATAAGATTAGGAATTAAGTTTGATTTTCATAAAATAAAAGTTAATAGTATTAGACTACAATTATGCCGGACCTTCGTTATTCAACTTCAAGAAGCAATTATTATTATTTAAAAAAAACATTTAAAAATAAAATTGTTATTACATTTTCTATTAGATCTAGTCTAAACTTCTACTTTTTATTTGTTTATTATTTATATATTTTTTCTTTTTGTTCAAGTTGGTATGTTGTCTTTTTGCGTCGGTTTGACCTGTATAATGTAGTCACAAGTCGCTATCATGAGCTGCCGAGGGCTAACTAGAGGGGGGATTGTACTCGGTTTCTCCAGGCCACATAATCTATGGCCATCGGGAAATATCAATCGAAAGTCTTCAAAACTCTTAAAAGCCTTCAGTTTTCGACGATCATAAATGCATGGTCCGCCATATTCTCTACTAGATAATTGAATACGTCATAGGTCCCAAAGTCAGGAATATCGTCAAACTTAAGGGAGGTATGTAACCAGTTCACTTAACGAAAATCCTGCCCGTTGTAATTTCCCCATACAGTCACGTCTACCGAGTGACACGGACCCCGTAGGTCAGGGGCTACGGGCAGGCTAGTCCGCTACTGCGGACGCTAATTTAACGAGTCTTTTCTCGGGTGTATACCGTAGTCGAAACTCCTCTTTTTCTTAGAAAATATTGCAGCTGCCTGAAACTCAGCTTGATGAATGGCAAGTTGGAAGATATTTCCGGCCAAAACAGAAATTCATATATATACACGCAGTTTTGATAGAAAGATATGAATGCAATTTAACGGCAAGAACCGACAGTCTAATACACAATGCACAGATTCAAAATGGTGATTTCACAAAGCTTGTCGGGCTTGGTTACAGTAACCGCGCATTACGTAACCGCCGAAACTGGCATACCCTCACCAAGTTTCCCCTTTCATTTATTTTTAAAGGATGACTTCAGAGTTCCTAGACATTGTCTCTTATAACGAGTTTTGAAGAGCAATTTAATTGACATGCAGGGAACCTTCAAATAATTCCAAGTGACGAATACCTTTCGTGGTTGAAATTTGTCGGGGGTGTCCCATTGCCTCTTTAAAATAGAGATCCAAAGATTAAAGGTACCATGTCCCTTTTGCAGCCAACCTCAAATGCTGTAGAACTTTGCAGGAATTATGAATATGTCATGTATGTCCTATCTGTGAAATTTAAACGTAAGCAGTGTCCTCATATTCAAATTATGCAAGGAAACCCGTTTACTTGCTAGACTTCACTGTCAGACACTATTGAGTGACTGACTGGCCTTTTTTCTTCTTTGGTAATAACATACATGAAAAGAGTTGTAAAGGGTACATGAGCATTTGTCTACATCAATAACCCACTTCTTGTGATGGCCAAGATTAAACTGATTGAATATTTGCGCAGCATAAAACGTATTCAGTCCAATTGTCTGAAAATCAAGACTATTACTTTTGGGCTCTATAGCCCTAAAGTCGATTTGACAACTGATAGTCGTTATTTTCCCACTTGAAGATATTTTCAAGCCCTACCTTTTTTAGGGAAGTTCTAAATTAGTATTATCTTTCAAATGCAGTTGGAATTTAACTTTTTCATTTTTTTGGCCTGCAAATGGGACATAGTACCTTTAAACTACAGAAGATTTTTAAAAAAACATCGACTATACTGAACACCAGAGGGCTTTCACTGTTTGCGTTTGCACGCGCTGAGCTCAAAGGTCGAAGGTTACTGGTGGGAATTCCCACCTCACAAAAGAACAATTCGGGCGCCATGTCGAGACGCCATTTTTTAGACGTACAAGTGAATATGATTTAAACCAGTATCATTAGAATGGTTCGTTAATCCTTTTTTACAACACGTGGAATATGATGTATAAGACTGGTCTTTAACGAAGTGTAACCTTTCCGAGATGTGACGAGTTTTATCTTCATTTGATGACCCGCGATAATTTGAATTTGGGATTGACATTATTGATTTATATGGTAGATCTATCATCTACCATCCATCATATTAGCAAATCCAGTCATTCAGCAAACGGAGTCAATCTTCATGCACCACCAATGTAAGTTATACGTGCTAAGTTGTAATATGGAATATCTGGCAAAAAATGCACAACATGAGGGATATTATGTTCAATAATAAACCATGGGGCAGCTCAACTAAAAAAAAGCTGTGCAATACTAATCTAGACCGAAAATGTATTTCAGTTTGTGTATGTTTTTTCTAATCCCTGGTAAGCTGGTTACAAGCCATTTCATTCACTTGCTATGAATAATTTATTTATTTATTTTTACATGTAGGCCTATACTTATTATTCACATATGAAAAGAAGGGTAGCTCATTCACAATTGTGGTCTACCATGAGGCCCTGTACATAAAAAAGAGGAAGAATACAAAAGTATATAAAATAACAGAATATTTAAGGATATACAACAAAAACATGGCAAAGTCTAAAGAAATATTATCCACATACACAAAAAGAAGGAAAGATTCGAAAAGATAGGACATACAATAAATCATGATGCCATATACGTCAAAACAAGAAGAGAGAAGAAAAAAAACTAAAATATATCCACGAATAGAATAGAATATTTAATTATTTTAAGGATAGACAAAAAAGACATGACAAAAAGTAATATTATCTACATAATACACATAGCGACGTACAATTTAAGAACACTAAAGTGTTTATAGGCACCACGTTCCACAACTATCATCTTGTTTACATGTTTATATACAGATGGGAAGGAAAAAAAATCGGAAAAAATCTGGGCGACCATCGACTCCACAGCCTGCAAAACATCCAAATGAGAGACAGGCTCCTCCTCCCCCTCCTCGTCCCCCTGACGTGACAACACCAGGTATATCTTTACATTCAATTTTCAAACTGGAGGTGCAGGCTGAGATACGTAATGCAATATAACTAAAGATACAGTATTATATATCTTGGTTCGATTCGTTCGATGTGTAACGTTTGGGCCTATCCTGAACAAGCTAATTTGCGCCAATTAACTTGTTTGGATTGGAGTAGTAAACAGACTATACCAAATGTACAGGCAGATCTCTGCTTCAGGCAAAATAATGTGATAGATTGCCCCAGTGTATTCCAAAACATTAAAACATTTGACCTAAAAGATAAATCGTTTAGATGAGGTAGTTTGCTTTTAGTGATAAATGTGGTAAAATATAACCTTCAAGGCAGAGTGGAAGTTCTATATTTCATTCTTGTCATCCTTTAAGATGAATCTAAGACTATGTGAAAGCATGAAATATTTCCTTGTATTGAGGGACCAATATCAGTAGACTACTTGGAATAATAGCATCCAAATTAGGGTTGACTTTATTATGTTGTCGTATCTCTACCTGCAAACCAAGAAATCATGCGTGAAAATAGAATGCCATTTCTAACCCTAGAAACATACCACTTCTGCTTTTTTCAATGGTTGATAATAATAGATCGAACTGTCTAGGCCCATTGTCCATGTTATGATCCATTAAAATTGAGCCACCAACAAAAAAAAACTCATTGTTAGGGTCGGCTATAGCGGGGGTATCGACAAAATAAGACATTGGAGGAATAGAGCACCCAGGTGCCCTATTATAATTTGTCAGTGTTATTTATGGTGCTTGGTAATTTTTTTTTTTTTAATTTTTTTAAAAAATAATGATAAATATTGTCACACTGGTTCTTTGTTACTACTTTAAATTTCATTTAACAGAACTATCACCAAAATTTGTGTATGACGAGGAATCAAAGACCTTAACTGTAAGACACGTTTACACACTCAATGTTGGGGATGTAGACACAGTCCACGTTGGAGACATTCATCATCATGTATCGGAAAGCGGTCAGGATCAAGACGACTGTGATGGATGTACCAAATACCAGGGTAAATTAATGTTTAGCAACGTTCTTCTAGATGAAGATTTAAATTCATTGTGAAATTCTGCTTTTTTAATTAGGTTGATATAATTGATTTTTATGATAATAATTATATCAAGAAAATATAAAAGTAATTTTGTCTTTCTTTATACAAAAATTAAAGTTTATAAAAAGTAATGTTTGCCGCCATTCATTGTTTGATACGTATCCAGGAATGTCCCATCTGAGAACTTTCTTTCTCTTGGAAATTTGCTACGATCCTTAGCTTAAAAGAATAATTAAAGATTTAGGGTATAAATAATTCTCTAAAATTGTATTCATGTTCTTAATGAAGCTTCAAGAAAACAAGTCTAGAACTTTTGTTTCCCATTATTATAATGGGAAACAAAAGTTCTAGACTTGTTAAATACGAGACTTGTTAAATACGAGGTCATAACGAAAGAATTCTATCTGTTTCAGAGATGGAAGTGGAAGCTAACATTGAACCTATAAATGAATCCGTGACAACAGGAGAAGATGGGGCTGGTGCTGGTGAAGCGGATCCTAGGATTCTGAAGCGCCTTCAGAAAATTTTTGCAAATTGTCACAACTTTGAAGAATGGAGGGAGAACAGAAAATTATGCCTGGAAGCAGCATCCCTGTTTGAACATCAAGGTCGCGCTTCTCTCACAAAGGTTCGGTTTGACTCGGTGCACTTCTTCGTTCGTGTCAAACTCGGACCCGATCATGATGCCTTTCTTCGAGCCTGTACAGACGGGACACTCTCGCGAGGCTTGACAAAAATCCTCGTTACTCCAGAACTGAAGGAAGCCGCTGGAGTCAAACTCAGACTAAGGCTGGACGTGAAAGAGACGTCAAACACGAGTAACGTCTCGGCACCAGCAGGTTAGCATCATAGAATGTGGTCGATGGGGGGGGGGGGGCAAAGGAAAGTAGATAAGAGGGCGATAATTTGCAAGATTTTGATGAGACTGATTTTTGAGAAGCCTTGAAGGATTTGAAAATAATTCTGTTTCAATGTGTTTCAATACATCAATGTTCATGTAATAATAAATGTTCATATAATTGCCCATTCTTACCTATACTGTAAATTTATAGAGATTTGATGGACAATAATTTGTTTCTCCAAGATATCAAAAAATTCATTTCCCCCCCCCCCCCCCCCCCCCCCCCCTCCTGTGTTAATTATGCCCTCCAATAGAATGCTTATCATTATGACATGATTCATAGCCACTAAGATTAATTAACATGATAACATCAAGGTACGAAATTCCTGAATTCTAATCTTCGGTACCGTAATGTTGTCCTGAAAAAGAAGAAAAAACAGTACAATTATTTGTCTTCAAGATAATATGTTTGCTATTATAGGACATGATTTAATGAGGCTTTTCCAAAACACATCTATACTATGGTATAACACGGGTCTTTCTACATGTTCTAAAACTCTTTAGAATGAGTTGGATCAACAGATAATGAACGAGTCATCGGAATATCTGTACATCAAAAGTCCCATTACCATTTCACTATGAGTTCTCGCTCTTTCTCTTTTCTATCTTCTCTCGCTCTCTGTCTCTCTGTCTGTCTGTCTCTCTCTCTTTCTCTGTCTCTGTTTCTTCTATCTCTCTGTGTCTCTCTGTCTCTCTCTCTCTCTCTTTCTCTGTCTCTGTTTCTTCTCTCTATCTCTCTCTCTATCTCTCTCTCTCTCCCTCTTCCTCTCAACACAATTTCATTTTGAATAGAACATTCACCTGTCGCCATCAAAACCCTGCAAGAGATGAACCCAACCGATGTTCAGAAATGGCTGATTGAGGAAGTGCACGTATCTATCAGCATAGCTACTAAATTTGCCGAAGCAGGTGTTGATGGAGAGCTTTTGATACGATACGAAGAACAACATCTTCAAAAGGATTTCGAGTTGCCTACAGGAGTAATGCGAAAGATAATCTATGCTCGAGATGATCGTACGAAGACGAGAGTTAATACGCACCAACATCACCCATTGGCTTCCGAAAAGCACACTGACAACCTAGGCGTAGACGCTGGAACGATTGATTTACTTGCTTCTGACTCAACCGTGGTATCACCGGAAAATAAAAGAGATGAACAGCTCACTGAAGTTACAGTACCAGTGCAGACGACTAAGAATGCGCAAGATCGCCACTTGGGAAAATCAATGGGGGCGGAAATGTCTCAACAAGTACCACTTTCCAAAGAAGAAGAAACAGCAGGAGAAGCAAAGCTACGATATCTCCTAACAGGCGACGAGGGTGGATCATTAGACAGTTCTTTCCATCCCATTCTTGTGGTAAACAAACCGGCATTCGGAGGTTCCCGTGATGACGAATTAAGAAATCTCGAGGAAAAGCTTGACTTTGTTTCACTGGTGAACTGGAACGCCGTCTTTGATTGCAATCCAAAGTCTCTTCAGAATGGTGTCTGTTCCATGGTGGAAAGCAAACGAGAACTCAAGCTTCTCCTTCCCGAGACATTCAACAAGGAAACGTCACCCGAAGAAGTAGATTTCAACGATGTTCCTGCCTGGATATTTGCGAATGGACGAGATGATATGGAAGAACTACAAAGCCCAAGTCTTGCTTCTGACTGGAATGAGAAATATGGCGCTGGGGTTGATCGAGCAGTAGATTTCTTTGCAACAAATGCCATTCCAAAGGAAAGAGCAGTCATTGTTTTTCTTCTTCTATCGGGAGACAGTGTACAAATAATGAGTGACATATTCAAGAAGCTGCAGTCATCTTTGCAAGGCCGAGGGACATTCACATTCATTGCGGAAAATCAGGAGCTATTCGACATCTGGGCAAATGAAATCAAGAAATGGCTACCAAGGGATCAACTAGAGAAGCGAAGCTTCATTGGTACTGACTGGGCACGCGTCAATCGTTTCATTCAGAATCAATTCGGAAAACTGGCCATCTCTCCAGCTGAATTGCCCTTGTCAGAAGGGAAAACATGCATTGTACCTGACAAAAAGCGTTCTCGATGGCTCAACATAGATGTCCTTCCGTCAAATGAGTGTGAAAAAACAGCCATGTATGAAGACAGTCCGGAATACGAGAAATTCGTTTCTCAGCAAGAGTTGATTTTTTACCAAGGAAACGGGGTTTCTTGGTGGAACTTTCACCTAACTGAAGGAAAGGAAAAGAAGCAACGATTCAACCAAGTTTTACGACGTGAAGTCAGCAAAACTTTGAACAGACTGGTGAAAGCCAAGTTGAAGCCAACAAATCCGAGTGATGTGTCAAGTTCCATAGTGACAATAACTATCTTTCATGAACCAGGTTCGGGAGCAAGCACCACCGCAAGACAAGTCCTGTGGGATTTCCATCGTCAACTCCGCTGCGTCATTGTTCAACGAGCAATATTGCCAACAGTTAACGAAATACTTGAAGTCCGAGAGTATGGGTATGGCAAATTGGAAGAAGTTCAACCAGTCCTTGTCTTGCTTGATGATATGGATGATGCAGAGGTCATCGACCTAATTGCACAACTGGAAGTAGCAACTAACAACAAAGGGTGTCTGTCGTTCATCATACTTCACTGCAAAAGGACACCTGACCCTGGGCTTGTGGCGAAAGACAACGGTGTGAACTCTGTTGTCATAGAGCATAAGCTTAATGCTCAAGAACGAAGATGGTTTGATGACAAATTCAAGAAATACGAAGAGGAGTACAGTATGAGGCCAGAGAAATTGATTGGATTCATGGTGATGAAAGAAGAATGCAACCCAGATTACATTCGAAAGATTGTATCAAACATCGTACACGAGGTGGAGGGCAATGAGGCTCAGCTCCTTAAGTACATTGCAGTTATCAACAAGTTCATGGGAGATTTTGGAATGCCTGTGTCCTGTTGCGATGAATTCATGAACGCTGAAAGGAAAACACGATCATCTCGAGGAGGTTACAGATTGCAGGTTGTTCCATGGGAAAACCTTCTATCACATGCGATGTGCCTACTTCTCATCCAAACAAGAGTCCATACAAGATGCGGTCCTACAAAGGCAATTAAGTTGGTTAACCCTGTCCTCGCAACTGAGGTTGTCAAGCAACTTGTAGAAGACACTGACCAGACGATTGGAGACATTATCAGAGAGTTTATACTTGATTCCCGAATCCTAGACTCAAAGGCTTACACAGAGAAGTACGTCACTGCCAAAATACGGGAGTTGCTAGTACGACGGAGGAAGATTGCAAATGAACGGACTGAACAAAGCCGGTTTTCCCCTTTGATAGAGCATCTTCTTACTGAAGACAAAGCACTGGCACTTCAACTACTTGAGGAAACTTCCCAGTTATTCAAGAGTGGACAAATCGCACAGCAACTGGCTCGCTTGCACAAATGGCAAGGAGACCTTGTTGAAGCAGCACGATGTGCGAAGATGGCCACTGACTTTCAGAGCCACAATCCTTACTATTGGGACACGCGAGGCAGGATCATCATAGATGATATGAAGAAGTATAAGAAGAAGTACAACGACACATCACTAGACGCATCTGAAGCCTCCAGATTAATGAATCTACTAGAAGAGGGGATGAACATCTTCAAGAGGTGTCAAGACCTACTTAGGGTGGAAGATAATCAGTATTCTACTTATGCTGGTTACAGCGGTGAGCTGAAAGTCATCTTCCTTTTTCTGCATATAATGGAGGAACGTGTGCTACCGTTTTGTCTTTCATCCAGAGAATGCATACTGAGTGTATATTTCTTGACTGACGAAGAGCTTCCAGAACTAAGCGACTTTTGGAGACGACAACGACAGCATCTCAAGGAACTTCCGAAGAGAGCGGATCTCACTCTTAACAACATCGGGGATCTCATGACATTCAGCAAAGGTATAACAAGAACCAAGCAAGATCCTGAAGATGAATTGCGCATGAGAAAAACGGAGAAAAACAAGTTCTATGAGGAGTTGCTTAGATACTTCACGGTAGACATAGAGCAGTCTCCACCCAAGTCTGTTCGGGAAAACCCTGTATCGATGAGTGCATGGAGAAGGGCACAAGTGAAAGCAATGAAGGCTGATTCGTTTTACGCCATTTTCAAACTGGCACAAACTGGGGATGAAGACCGCCTGAAGAAAGTTCGATCCATTCTTAACGCAAATCATCCAAAAGATGCCTTTGATCTGAAATTATTGGTTTGTATTTCGTTCGCTTTGTCCTCCTTCGGCCACGAAGATGTTGACTACGTTGGGATAATAAGACAAGTGGAGAATTTGAATGGAATTGACCATAGTTTGTACGGTGCCTTCTTTTCTATGATGTTAGCCTGGCCAAGAGATGACCCGAAAGCGCGTAGTAGCGATGTTGGGATGACCACATTGAAAGCGATAATGATTCTGAGAGAGAAGTGGAACAACTTACTTAGAATGAATTCAGATAAACGGGAATCTCAGACTGGCTATGACAGATCCCTTCCACGTCACCAGACAATTGCAAGGAAACCTCTCACTCACTTCTTGCTGGCTAAGGGAGAAGGCTTGCAAGCATTTGTTCACATCAACATGTTCCACGCATCACAGTCCACACTGGAAGGTGAAAGGCACAGGTTCTGGTCGAGAGAAGAAGTAATGGAGCGATTGATGCGCCTAGAAGGGACCATTCAAGACAGAGAGAGAATCGTCTACAGAACCCCAGCCAAAGAAATTATCTACATCAAACTATCTGCCAGATGGCACAGCCAACCAAGTCAAGAGAAGGTCTCTTTCTACCTTGGCTTCAATTTCCTTGGACCAGTGGCATACGATGTGTGGGAAAAGGACCGGAATTCAGTCCCAATCCAGGTGAAGAATTATCGGCAGACGTACCCTGAATATCTTGTGGGCAGACTTAGCCGCCTCCAAAGGAAAGAAGAAGACATTCAAGCTACGCTGGATGAAATAGAGTACTTGTCCAAGAAGAGGAGAAACAGGCAGCAACTCACAATCGATGATGTAAGTATATAAAACGAAGAGCTTCCTATTAAACGGGGATAAGTCTATGTCTTTTTCTGTTTAAGTTTCCCTTCTTCATTGGCATCTCTGTTTAACGGGGACAGAAAGTCTGATGCAATTAAGAATGTTGAAAATGTGATGAAAACTTTGACTTTTCTCTCTCTCACTATATTATATATAGGAAGTTTATCATTTATTAAAATTGTTTGAATTTGAAATAAGGTGTGATCATGCTCAAAAACATTTATCCTTATTTCTCTTACAAATCCCTTTTCGCCACTCTCTTTCTCTCTCTCTCTAATCCATTCTTTCTCTCCTCTCTCTCCTTCATTCTTTCGAAGTCTGATACATCCATATGCCTCATGTCCAGTCTTTCTCCGTTCTGTAATCCCTTAACAAATTTCTTTCCTATTACAGCGGAAGTTCATGCAGACGAAACCTAATCTGGAAGCAGAACTCCGGGACATTCGGGCCCAAATTGAAGATGAGATTGACAAAAACGACGACGAAGATGAAACATTCACTCTCGTAACAAAACGGAAAAAGGGATACAAGAAGATGATGAGTGTTGTGTCATAAAAGCAAGTGCCTCTGTCACATTGTGAGACAGCATGTCCCTGGTGAGACACTCGTCGTCCCTTGCGACGCGGTGATGACCAACAAAAAGGCCATAGATCAGGAGTCTTGGTTTGTGCGTAGGTGGGTGCACAGACAGTGGCGTAGTATGGGATCAGTCATGGGGGTGCACCAGCTTTCAGTCTACTAGATCAGCGTTTTTCAACCCCCTTTTTCAGTCACGGCCCTTTTTAGGAGTTGAATTTGTTTACGTCACCTCAATCCAAAATTCATCCAAAAAAATATCCATCCTTCGTATTCATAGGGACACGGGCACATTTTTGCGTGAGGGCCAAATTCATACTATCCGGGTCTAAAATATTGCGGGGTAGATGTAAAAATCTAATGCTTTTATTACGCCAAAAATATAATTTAGTCATCAATATATAAATGCTGAATTTTGAGAGAAGTGCTGAATTTTGAGAGAAGTGAAGCGAGCGAGGTCAAAATTATAAAGACACTATGTCGTGGTATAAATTTAATTTCGATACAAAAATTCATTAAATAAGTTAAAGGGATCCGGTAACTTTGTCTTAGATCCTTTAACAAAATCCTTGATTTAGCTCATGCTGCAATATTAATTTTAAACCTTAAGGTCAGTGTAATATGTGATCTTATACATTGACTCAATGCTACATGCTATACACACATACACACAGTTAATGTACACTGTGGTGTATGGGCTTTTCTATACACAATATAACCAGTCATGCTGGATTGCAACTTCACTCTGATGTTTCTTTATGTGTCTTCATTTGAGTACTAACCATACAGCTAAACAACCCCACATTATATGGTGGCAGCGATATAGAACCTACTGGACAATATTTGTGAACTTTGCATCATTTTGGAGAGATTTTGGAGGCCATCTTATTGACACACTGTCATTGGATCAACAGGTGCTCCTTTCTACAGTCCCATATGATGGTTTTACTGTAAGTAAAATGTGCATTGACATTTGCATTACTATTGGAGTTTGAGTAGCTGGTATGAACTATGAATGAATCATTTACACCCCGCATGAATTGGGAAGACCCCGACAGAGCCAATGCTGTTAAGATTTTTCATCAGCAGTGTGACTTATACTTCTCAGTCAAGAATGTTGCGATTGGTAAGCAAGTGGATCATGTTCTTTTATTCACTGGTGCCACGGGTATCAAGCTTTACAACTCGTGGGGTCTGGAAGGTGAAGATAGGAAGAATCCAACTGTTGTTTGGGAGAAGTTCGAGACACAGCTGAGGCCAAGGGCAAATTTCCGTGTAGCTAGGCTATACCTTCAGAAATATGTGCAGAAAGAGAGGGAAAGTGCAGATGACTATATCTCGCGTCTGAAGCTGCAGGCATATGACTGTGAATTTCGTGATGACACTGAGCTCCAAGAACGCATCATTGAGCAGTTCATCACAGGCACTAGATATCCTGAGCTCCAGAAAGATCTTCTAGGGAAGAACAAGTCCCTCACTCTTACACAGATGCTTGAGCTGAGTAGAACATTTGAAGCATCGCAGATGCACATGGCTCAACTAGCGCAAGTACAGACACATATTCAGCCTGCATCGATTGATGTAGTTCGTCGGAAGACTAACACTAGTAACAAGTGTCCTAATTGTGGTGGTAATCATGCTCGCAGTCCACGGGAAGCATGTTCGGCTTATGGCACCAAGTGTAACAGCTGTGGAAAGTTGAATCACTGGAGGAGTGTTTGTCGGTCTCCAGCTCCAAGTACACAGCGGTCTGGGAGATCTCCAGCTTCAAGTACCCAGAAGTGGAAGCAGAAAGCTAAATACGCTACGCCACATCGTGGAGGCAAGCAGGTGCAATCCATCCACAGCACCAGCAATATTGAGGCAGCAGCAGCGGTCCCACTACTGAATGACGCAGTGGATGTCCTGTCATTCAATCGAATTATTGTGTCAGGTATCAGTGCTGTAGAGGTGGATGACAGGGACGACCTAACAATAGCGTACGTGGAAGTCAGACGGGATGAGAGAACCATAATGAAACTGCGTTCGAAGGTTGACTCCGGTGCGGAGGGCAACACACTTCCTCTTCGGATGTTTCGTGGGATGTATCCTGGCCATCTCACTAAGGATGGAGTTCCTCACCCTCAATCAGTGCATAATTCAAGTGCACGGTTGTTCGCTTACAACGAAACACCAGTGATGCACTTCGGTTCGGTTCGGCTCCCCTGTCGTTTCAACAACTCAACTTGGCTTTATGCTACATTCTACATCGTTGAGTCCAGGGGTCCAGCGATTATCGGATGTGACACAGGCTTGAAACTGAAGCTGCTTACTCTACACACACGCATCAACGAGATCAAGCATTCAGCACAGATAAGCTCTACTGATGACCTAGTAAGGCAGTATCCAGACCAGTTTGACAAAATTGGCAACTTCCCAGGAGAATATCGTATTGTTCTTGATCCAGACGTTCAGCCTGTTGTCCATGCTCCTAGACGGTGCCCAATCCACCTACGAGATGAACTGAAGCGTGAGTTTGATGACATGGAAGGTAATGGCGTGATCACTAAAGTCATTGAGCCTTCAGCATGGGTCAGCAGCATCGCTGTTTCAAGGAAGTCGAATGGCAAACTCCGTGTCTGTTTGGATCCCAAGGATCTCAACCGAGCTATTCGACGTTGCCATTATCGCACTATCACGACAGATGAGGTGATACACAAGCTATCAGGTGCTCGACACTTCAGCAAACTCGATGCCAAGAACGGTTATTGGTCTATCAAGCTCGACCATGACAGTTCACTTCTGACTACCTTCAACAGTCCCTTTGGACGGTACAGATATCTCAGGATGCCTTTTGGTCTAGCAATGTCTCAGGATGTATTCCAGCAGCGAATGGACGAAATCCTCGAAGGTTGCCCCGGCACAATAGGGATCGCTGACGATATTGTTGTGTTCGGCAAGAGTGAAGCGGAGCACGATCAGAATCTGCACCACCTCATGTCCAAAGCTGTGAAGTACGGTCTGCAGTTCAACAGTGGCAAGTGCAGCATAAAGGTCAACCAGATTTCCTTCTTCGGTATGATCTACGATGCAGATGGCGTCCATCCGGATCCTCACAAGGTCGGGGCAATCAAGTCAATGTCTCCACCTGAGAACAAGAGCCAGCTTCGTGAGTTCCTTGGTATGATAACCTACCTTAGCCCATTCATACCAAATCTTTCAGCCCAGACTGCAAGCCTACGTGGTCTTTTGAAGCAGGACGCTGAATTCCAATGGACTCCGACGCACCATTCTGCCTTCAATGATTTACGTGACAAGGTATGTCACGATGCAACTCGGGCGTATTTCGATGTTAACAAGCCTACGGTACTGCAGGTAGATGCTTCTCTGCAGGGCTTGGGAGCGACTCTACTGCAGGATGGAAAGGGTATCGCGTTTGCATCAAAGGCCCTCAGTGATGCAGAGACGAGGTACGCCAACATAGAGCGAGAGCTGCTTGCAGCCCTCGCAGCCCCACGAGACTCTTCTCCAGCACGAGATACCTACACGATCCTGGCAAGTCTTAGGTACAGACTTATTTCACTTTGAAGGGAACAATTATCTCATCATTGCAGATTACTTCTCAAAGTTCCCTTTCATCCGGAAAATGCCTCAAGAGTGTACCAGTGCTGCAGTAGTCAATGCGACCCGTCAGATTTTCGCAGAACAAGGAGTTCCAGAAAGAGTCGTTAGCGACAACGGAAGACATTTTGACTCCTCAACATACAGAGATTTTGCTACACAGTGGGGATTCAGCCATGTTACATCCTCTCCCCACTACCCCAGGTCAAATGGCTTCATTGAGCGAATGATTCAAACTGTCAAGAATACGCTCAAGAAAGCTAAAGTGAGTGGTATCGACCCCAACATGGCTCTACTATGTATCCGTGCCACTCCAATTGACAGCCGCATTCCAAGCCCAGCTGAGCTTCTTTACGGGAGGAAGATGAAGGACAACTTACCAACTCGAATCCGCAACAACTCCCCTGGTCGTGATGATGTTAACCATCGTATGCAGCTTCGACAGCAGAGCCAGAAGTATCATCACGACAAATCAGCCCATGACCTAGCACCACTCTCACCTGGGCAGCTTGTGAGAGTCCAAGACCAGACATCACGTCACTGGATAACAGCTACTGTTCGTGAGCAATGCCATGAGCCTAGGTCATATCTCGTCGAGACGCCTAATGGAAGGGTGCTACGCAGAAACCGGCAACACCTCGCTGATATTGAGCCCAGGCGTATCCATCATGATGAGGAGGTAACCAAGACACCCGATCCTCATACACGCGAAGAGATGACGCTTGATCCAACGCCCGACATCAGAGGTTCTCCTGCCCCAACCCCTGCCCCAAACCCTGGCCCAAACCCTGTCCCAATCCCCAACCACCAGCAGACCACCCGCAGTGGCCGGGTAATCAAGAAGCCAGAAAAACTGACTTATTGATAGGACTTCATCTTTGGATACTTCAAGTTTGGACATTATGGACTCAGTTTATTTTTCTGTAAGGGGGATGTAATATGTGATCTTATACATTGACTCAATGCTACATGCTATACACACATACACACAGTTAATGTACACTGTGGTGTATGGGCTTTTCTATACACAATATAACCAGTCATGCTGGATTGCAACTTCACTCTGATGTTTCTTTATGTGTCTTCATTTGAGTACTAACCATACAGCTAAACAACCCCACATTATAGTCAGTAAGGAACCCCATGACTTTTTTGTTTTCGCCATTCGATTGTGCGCCACCTATGCCCCCCCCCCCCCCTCCGTAGCTACGCCACTGTGCGCAGATGTCATGAAGAGACCCATCTGAATCCTAAATGTATTTTGGGCATGCATAAGATTGGAACTGATTGGAAGTTCGGTGATTGTGTCTTAATGATTTTTTCCATTTTGGTTTGAAAGCTATGATGAAAAGATAAATGTAATTTCTCCATGATGGAAAGTTGTGCAAGTTAATGTTTTCATTGTTTTAATTTAAATCAATTTATCACTTTTTGCTTACCTTGATTTGTTTCAGACGTTTAATTTAGTATAATATTGTAGAAACTTGAGTATACATCTAAATATGTAAAGCTTATTTGCGTATTATGCATTCCATAAATATGGAAATGTGTCAATCACTCATGCTCAATTACCTTGAAAATCAAATCCAATTTTCAGGGATTGTTTCAGGCAGAAAGTACTTAGATGTAAATATATTTCGGAAATGTATACTTTCGTTTCAACAGGACGATAATGACAGAAAGATATTTGGATTTTATGCAATTTATATCAATAATGGAGATATCCAAAGGTGTACAACATGTTAAAGCCATCGATAATATGATTTGGAGCAGTTGATTTATGTCAGGTAGTGGAGCGCAAACTCATGCAAAATACGAACTTTTTCTCGTTATTGATGTTATATTATATTTTACCAATTTTCACTGTTTGGATTTTTGTAAAACTGTTCAGCCCTAGTCCTACATAACGATAACCCTAACTGTATTCATGAAGGTAAAACCTAACATTTTAATTTTGTCAGTAAAAATGAAGATATTGACTCATCTGAAATATATATTCTAGATTGGTTATATTCAAACGCAAATATATAAACTTTTCGCTATGTTATCAACAATAATTTTTGCCACTTTTAAATATATTTGTTTTCTTAGAGTGTTTTGCATGGGCACTTGGAACAAACACATATTGAATGAAGAAAAAATCTTTCGATTAATAATTATTCCCGGTAAAGCTCAGGAAGCAGAGGTAGTACAGAAGCAGATATGATATATCAAGGACCATAGGCCCTATAGTGATATGCAATACAATGAAATGTAGTATGATACAATTAGTTTTAACTTGGTCAAGTTCCTGTTTTGACTGGATTAAAAAACGCGGAGTGAAATATTGCTCTCCTAAAATAATAGCAGATAGGCCTTCATCCATGGAAACTTTATGCACCATTTTCGATTCTTGCATCAGTTGGGCACTTCAAACTCTCCGTCATAGTAAAATAGTGTTAACATTTTGATTCAATTTCTTCCCCCAACATTAAGTTTGAACAAACTTTAGTCTATGCGCAGATTAGAAACATAAGAAGACTATAAATGCGTCAAATAGAACTTTATCTGGTTAACTTCATATAGCATAGTAATGTTTTTGTCATTTGAAAGAAATGTAAATATACTGTGTATAATACAGAAAGGTCTTATTTTTACACATATTGGATGTTTCTCTGTATAAAATAAATCATGTGCCATAACAATTTGAATGTTACTTAGATTATATCGGTACAATATTCTAGTTAATGTGGATGATTATAGCTTTGTAATAGCAATAATCAAAATGCTGTACAGTTACTTAATTATATCACTTCATCATTTTGTATGGAGAAGTGAAATGTAGTATTCTCTGATGTACTGATCCTTTACAGTTTACACAGTGTAAAATTTGCATTTATTTATTGCAATGTAAAATGCATGTTTACCAATTTAATGCAGACTGTCTCCTTGAACAAAAATTTATCTTGACAACTCAAAAGCTTGTCAGAGGCTTGCCAGCTTCCCAACAGCTGATGCATACAAAGTGCATCCCATCTATTATATAGAGATTTATTTTGTATAGTAATGTTGGTAACCAGGGGTTTTTGAGAGAAGCTTGTAGAAATAATGTGGTAATAATACTAATGATAATAGACCGCCCAATGGAGACAAGAAAAGTGGTCTTTATAGGCAGGTGGTCTTTATGTTCAGGTTCCTTTAGTACATGTTTCAATGAGAAACCATTTTCAAGGGAAACTAAAAATGTGGTCTTTGTAGACAGGTGGTCACTAAAGCAGGTTTGACTGTAGTAATACAGTGCTTTTATAGCGGATAAAAGGTAAAAATATGTGCTATAAAAGCCCGACTCTAACTCAGTCAAAATGATGTATAAACAAGTATATTTTGAGAGTATTGAACTTAGGTATGCAAAAGAGTTGGAAATAAACAGTGGAATACAGATTGTAAATATACAAATATATAGCAGCTGAGAATTAATAAGCTACTAGGTCTACTATATGGAAGATTTTCATTAAATAAAACGTGGTTCCCTCTTTTACAACATGTGAATTTGTTGGTTTCTGCTCTGAATCACAATTATCAGTTTTACAAATTGTTATGGATTGATTATTGGTCTTTTAGGTATTCAATTTTATTGATAATAATAAGATGGGAGTTGTTGCTACCTTGTTTGGCGTTCAACAATAAGGGATAGAGCAACGTCGATCTGGCGCTGCTCAGTGGCTGCCGGGCTCACGATCAATTGGGCAAAAAGAATTTCCGTTTCGGGTTAATAACATTTGGAGTGGACTATTAGGCTATTATTATTATTATTATTATTAAGTTTCCAGAAGTTTAACAATGTATTCTGTATATAGGACAACTTTCTTACTTTTTGTGTAATTATATTGCTATGTAATTTGAATTTGAATTTTATTTTTATATTGTATATACCGTACACAATCATGTTCATTTCAGTTTATTGCTGCAAAACATGTTGTTTAATAAACCGTCTTTTAATTGAATTGAATTGAATTGAATGAATTTAATTGAAATCGTTATAATGTTTTTATTTCTACTCGGTGTAGATGTAAGGTGTTATAGGCATGTATTAACTTGCAAAACTGATAAGGATTATGATTGTGTTTTCCAAAGATTTTATAACAAGAATCAAGTATTGAAGGAAAATAAGCATTGATATTATATTGAGGATTAAATGCCAAGTTTGTAACAAAGTGTCTTTATTTTGTATGACTTTGTATTTACATTAACCTTGTGAATCACTCAAGATTGTATGAAGTGTATGGAATAAATATTACAGGCCTGTACTGTTAAACAAATCGTTCGATGAAATTTCATTTGTTATTTATTTTTGGTATGTTCTTTTAAGTGGTGAAAATAAATATGAAATGAATGAAACGAAATATACAATTCAATGTGGTTCAAAGCATTTTATAAAATTTCAGTGATAATAACCTAACACTTAAAAAAACAAGGTAGGGCAAAAGCATGAACCCCCTTCCCAGACACACATTTTAAAAAAAGGTCGAGGTGGATAGTCCTCCGTTTCTTTTGCAAAAATACACCTATATTAAATGTTTGCGCCAGGAGTGTCAAGTCTGACAGACATGAGCGCTATACAAGAACCCACTATTATGATTATTATTATAGTTTCTCTAGTTTAATTGTGATTATAGTGACTACGCATCATTGCATTATGATTTAGTTTGTAGCCTACCGTTAAAAAAATCTGTAATCCTAATAAAACTAGAGAATGCAAATTTCTAGTTGGCCTAATGAAATAGAGGGTCCTTGGTTCGGTATGACAAGTGACGCCTTTTCAAGGGGATCGCCCCCTCACTGGCTGGGGTAATAATGTGCCTGACTTATTTCCCGCCCCATGTGCCAGATTTCTACAAAACAATTTGTTATGTGCATGTACGTGTTCAATAAATCTTAGAAAAGATTCCTGAAATCATTCTTTCGAATGATCGAATCTGAAACTAAGACAACATTAGTCTATATTAATCACAACACAATATTGTAAATTGTAAAATACAAGGCCAATTGCATCAAAGAAAATAAAATCAAAGAAAAAGTCCGAATTCAAATTAAGAAGTGGAATTCCCATAGTAGGCTACTAGGTTTAAGCGACTGTCTTTAACGAGTTGACTCCAGTTTCCTCTGCTATGAAATATGATGCAAAGATCCAATCTATACCAAATTCTCTCATTGAACACACAATGCCCCAAAGATGTCACATGAATGCACTTTTTCTATTTGCAAAATTTAAAACATTTATTACTATTGGCTTACGGAGGACGGACAAATTTCCTTACAGACTCCGCAAAATAATAATTAACTCCGGGGAGAAGTGGGGGTCATTTGACCCCCTGTGTCATTTTTTTTTTAAATATTTTTTTTTTTGGGGGGTGGGGGTGTTCCATTCATTTTCTACATAATTATGTGCGTGCATTTTGATTTTTTCAAGCCCCCCCCCCCCCCCATGACGGTACAAAGTTTACCCTAGGTCAAACCAAAACATGTTTTTAATATGCCCCACCCCCGACCAACTTGTGAATCTCGCATTGCATCGAGGGTTTGCCCTTACTGCACTAGTATTCTCTTTTAGAGCCTTTCTCAATTACAAAATACTCTGTATTTCAAGAAGGCCCAAAAAAGTGTTCTAGAAAACAAATATATCAAAAATTTTATCCAACAAATAGTTTAATTAATTGCACTTGAACAGTTGACGTGGATTATTTCCTCATGATTTGCAATAATAATTACCTTCATTTCTTAATTTATTTTTAATAAAGGAAACAAGGTCTTAATACAAGAAAAATCACCATATGCAGGATCGTACGATCACGTGATATTTGTTCTGTGTCTGCTATTGAAAATCCGTCTAGTCCGAGTCAGTTGAGAGGTAAGATTTCCATTTTTTCTGTAATTTTATTTAATTGTGAAAATATAATAGCTCACTTTGAATGATTATTTATCATTTAAAACACTGGCATACTTTTTAGAAAAATCCAAGACCCAATAATACCTCATTCTATGTGAAAGATTATTAAACAGCAGTTGCCTCAGCTCAAACGGAGCGGAGCATTGTCTTTGCTTTGGCCGCACCCAGCGGACTGGCCGCGCCGGGCCGGGGGACCGGGAACTGAGCTGACGTGTAACTTAAGTGTAATTAGTGTGTAACTTAAGTGTAATTGGTAAATCAATAATGATAAATCAAAATCGATTTTAGCAACTGTCCACCATAAAAAGTATATTCTAATCTAATCTAACCTTCTTACCTGGGGCCCGTTCCTAAAAACCGTCATAAGGCTAACTTCTTGACTATCCCATTGAAACGCGTGTTAATTCTATAACACACGCTTCAATGGGATAGTCAAGAAGTTAGACTTATGATAGGCACATTCATGGGGCACTAGAGGGCGCTTTGCATGCGTACAAAAATCTGAATGGCCTTGCTGCGGTGGGTCGGCAATAATCAGCCCAAAACTTGGATATGGGAGGGTGGAAGGATATATCTTTTTTATAATGTTATCTGGTCTTACCCTTAACCATCCTATGTTTAATCTATACAACATGCGAGTACGATAAGAGAAACATCGGGCCCATTACTGATGCAACTTTTAAAATATTAGCCTAGAAATGACCACCAAACGGAAAAAATTGACATTTTTTCCCGACAAATCTTCATAAAATCTGATTTATAAACCAGTCACATCTAGGTACACTAATACAAATACGATTTTCTGAAAATTCAGGTATTATTTTTTAAGTTTCTTTCAAGTATATTTCTGCGCATTGCAACAAATTTGTTACGAGGTCCGCGAGTGTTCCCCGTTCCTTGTGTGTTGAAAGTTTGGTTATACATAGTTTACATTGACTCGCGCACGAAAAAATGGTCGAAAACAAAATGTCAAATGAAGAAATAAACAAGCTTTTGTATAGTTATAAGAGTTCTACCAAGGTTTCTTTGTCGATTTAATTTATTATATAGTCTCAATTAGAATTCAGAATTATCTCACTGAAAAGTTAAGAAACCGACGATGTTCTCGATCGTAGTTATTTTCATTTTGCCAGCAGCCGATCTAGCGTTGTTTGGGCAAAAAGCTAGGCCGCTGCCTTCCCATCGCAAACCTTTCCGAGTCCCGCTAAAATGGCGCGCTGCGGAGCTCCGAAGCTGCGTTGGTATCGCTGCAAACTCTCAGCCGGCTAGCTCCCCAAGACGGACCATTCGCGGTATGGCGAGATTGTGTGTGTGAGGTACGATTTTGGATTCGAGAACGCACGTAATGCAACCGGGCGCGTCATATTCAGCTGTCGAATGTCTACGACCAATTTTACATGTACGATTTTTAGTACAGATACTTGGTCAGTTTTCTTCTTATATCTTTGGTTTTACAACATTTAAAAATATAATTTCTTCAAATTTGCTCCTGACTCGGTTCAGACTAATTGTGTGATGTGTTTTCAAGTCAATTTTTTGAATATATTTTTTTGCATGAATTTGCCTACTTATGATGGTTTCTAGGAACGGGCCCCTGTAGTTGCCTGTCTTCACAGGCTCTAATTTAAGACGTAGTCCTATAACGCCCACCCACCTTCCTTCATTCAAAATCCACTGCATTGGATATCGTGTCATATTTTGCAGATATCAATCCTAACAGTAACATGGAATGCAGGGGCTCGTTCCTAGAAACCAACGACAAGACAGTCATAACTTTATCCGCCAACTACGGAGATGTCGTTGATCTTCCTAAACCGTTTGACGAAGAGCTTACTAGCTAGTATCTCGTGAGATCGATACTATCGGCGAGAAGAGGAGCCGAGACTTAGCCTTAGTCACAATACCACCGGTTTATTACAAAATTAATATTAGGGAACATGCAATTATTTAAATGAATTAGTAATAAAAAAGATTGATAGTGATACCAAGAAATAAGAGATGCAATATACTTCCAAATTTGTGTAAATTGTACAATAGAAGTACTTGTAAAATATAATTGTGAGTATTTCATTACATGACCTGTGAATCAGTTTTGTTCTTTAGATGGGTACCCCCCAGATATTTTTGTTTGATAGTGTATAAAAATACACCAATATATTATTCTTAGACAAATACGATGTAATGAAGTTTGTGTCCAATGTTTTAGGTGTCAGTTGAATAATCAAATGACAAAACTTCAACATTCCAAACGTTAAAAAACATGTTTTAATCTATTCATTTTACACATTTGAAGATAGAATTTATTTCGAAGGCAATGTGGGTCTGAAAAGTAAAGAATACACTTCAAACTATGGCTTGCCTGCCGTGGCAAAATACCTATACCTTCAACGGATTTACAATGTGGAAATAAAGGCGTATAATCAGTTTATTTAAGTGGGAAAATCCTTAAATACAAACATGGCATATTTTCATAAGATTATCAAATACAAAAAACGATAAATCACTGTTTAAGTGAATGTGTTAAAAAATCATAGTTGGAGGATTTATTGTCTTTTTTTGCCAGCCATAGTCTACCCAATAAATGACATGTGATGGCGCTGCCCATCGACTAAATAGTTATGACAGAGATACGACGGTGTCAGAGGCGTCATAACTACTTAGTCAGGATGTTGTCGATGATCTTGGCAAAGAGGGCTTGGTGAAACACGTAGCGGACAAGTTGCTCACTAGCGCTGATTTAGTCAAGAAGTTAGACTTATGACGGTTTCTAGGAACGGGCCCCAGATAGCTTTGCTGTCTGCTTAATACTTTTCTTTAGTCAAGACATAGCTACATGTAATTTAGCCCAAATTTTCTGTCTCTTTCTTTCGTTAGCCTCTGATTCGGGTAGGGTCGGCTCCTCTCTTTATAGCCAGAAGCCGACCATAGGCGTAAGTGTTCACGTTCGGTGTAACGTTTCTTTACACCAAACTTGGCCAAACTAATGCCTAATTTTGATATTTTACCGGATGCGTATCCGATTTATTTTATATTGTTAATTAGGCCTAGGCTATAATACATCGGTTCCACTTACCAACTTGACTGAATAAATCCGTTTAATGGTCCATTTTCAGGAAATTATTGGTCAAAATTGACATCCATGTTAAAAATCTTGCAGCCCTATTTTAAACTCTCGCTGCGCATGACGTCATCTAAATTTCATCCCTTCTAGTAACCGTGTAAGTTGGGGCTCTGATCGGATCGGAAGATCGGAGCAACACCCTCGCACCTTTGATCAGTTTCGGATCGGAAGATCGACCAAAAAAATCAGCTGATTTTTTTTCTTCTTTTTTTTAATGACGAAAATTTTCAAGTTTTTGGCTATCAAATGCTCATGGCTGGGATTATTTTGTCATTTGGAGTTGTTGTAGACCATGTTTGTTGATATTTAGTGCCTTTTCATGACTTTGAAATTAATTATATTGGTCTAAGAGCAGAGGCAAAACATGGGGGCCGCCATCTAGGATTATAATGTAGGTATGCATTTTTTTCCGATCATTTTAATTGATCGGCGATCGGAAATTATTATCCGATCACCCCTGATCGGATCGGTATCGGCGTCCGATCCGATGATCATTTACAGGGTAACCTTCTAGTCTGTGCCGTATGCAAAATGATTATGAAGAAAAAACTGTGCGCGACCTACAAGCTCGTAATGACGTTATCACAGTTTTTCCTTCATAATCATTTTACGTTAGTCGTTTTGATCAACCAATAACTAGTCCCCAAAATTGCTGCAGTGAGCTTCTCTTCGTACATGAGTCTATGGAGATGCATTGTATGCATGTGTAAATCATTCAATGAACTGCTCTTGCACTAAGTGAATGAGCCTGCTAGAGGATAAGTTATTGTGTGATCATGGGCTGTATGTGCAGTTCCAGTATTAAGACCATCCGGAAGATTAGAAGGCCACATCCACGATGTTCTCTTATAAATCCACTGTATGAGCGTCGTTCTAAATTTTTGTTTGGTGAACATAATTTTGAGGACAACTAAATTCTATTTTTGGAAACTTTCATCGTAAAAATGTAATTTTTTTAAAATTAGTTATGATTTAACGATATGGAGAATTGAAAATTTCAAAGATAAATTCAGAGGACAATATCAAATGTAGTATATGTTGTTCTTAAATAATTATTCAATAGTGTTAATGTTGTTGTGTTACTATTCTTTTGCAATTAATACAGAAAAGAACTAGAATAATGGCCGGAATACAAGACAACCATGAGGATATTTTAGATCCCAGACGGAAAGGATCAGACATTCGATTTGCATTGCAGACATTGCGGGGTGTGCCAGAATACAAGTATATCAATCAACAGACCCCCAAAGAAGTGAAGGAACAGGTTCTAAAGTCGCAGAGACTAAGGCATGTTATTGAACAGGTTCGTACCAAGATGGAAGCTCTTGTGTTTGTGCTGTGATTTCTATTTTTGACCAAGGCCATGATTGAGACATAGATGTCTCTGTAAAGTAGGCCTGCAATTCTTAGTTTTAAATGCACATTTACATGAACATAACAAAAGCATTTTTACAAATTTTGCCGTTCAAGGGAACCATTGAGCTAAACATGCATACATTATCAGTCAATAATGGAGGCTAGTTGAATTATGGTTAGATCATAGATCTTCGAACAACAATAGATGATTCTGGGATTTTCATTAATGATCAGATCTTCAACACTCTTCTTCTTTTTTTTTTTTTTTTTTGGGGGGGGGTCCTTTTTTTGGCCATTTATATTAATTGATATATGATTGTCTCAAAATCATTTATCATTACACAAATGATTCTCTTGAGGCATATAATATTCATCAATTGGTGTCACCCTTCACTTCTGTAAATTTGATTTATGAATTGAGGGGCATGAAATATACTTATTTGCATCCTGTATTTCATCCTACCCCATTCCTCTTCACCTCAGCTTTCATCAGAGAAAGGTTTAGAGGAAGATGTAATCTACAAGGAAGCTGATGCCATTTTGGAGGAGATGGGTCATAACCTCAACATGACCACATTGCGCTCCCTAGCAACCATCTTTGCCAACATTTTTCGCCAGCTCTTCAGGCACATTTATGTCAACCAAAGTGGAATTCAAAAGGTAGGCTTTGCTACTGCACAAAATTTAACTCCATTGTAACAGCAAGGTATGTGTTCCAAACACCAAAATTGCAAGTTCCATTTCAGATATGTCAGGTGAAATCATTTCTTGAACTTTTATGTGATATAAACTAAACCAGCAATATTCCAGTGCTTTAGAATTCGTGAGATGAATGTGAGGAATTAGAACAACCTAAGTAGCATTTTCAACATGTTAGAGTTGATTTATGGTGCACATGAGAAGGCATCAAAATGCAAAATAGTTCCTTCAGTTGATAGAACCTTTCCACTTAAAAACTGAACTGAATACTGTTACACGCGGCATAACTTGCATCATCGATGTTCTTCATTTCAGATGAGAGCACTGATGAAGGAATCACCGGTTGTGCTTCTACCAACACATCGCAGCTATCTGGATTTCCTTCTGATGTCTTACATCTTATTCCATTATCATCTCCCTCTTCCTTTCATTGCTGCAGGAGCAGGTAATGTACTGTGCTAATTTCTAACATTTAACATCTGGTATATGTTAGGGCTCTTCTGACTGGGTATTTCATTCGTTGATATGAGTTTGTGATGGTTTTGGTCCTCAGAATATTCAACATGTTTTGTTACATTCTAAGAATGGAATTGGCAAGGCAGCATTTAGTGTGATCAGTGTATCTATTTTAGTAGAATGGAATAAAGAAAGAAACTTATTGCAGTACAGGTAAAAATGAAATCACATTTGAAGTGGTTATTATGAAAATCATCAACTCCTCCCAACCCCCCAACCCCCCCCCCAAAAAAAAAAAAATATATATAACAAGCAGATTTTTACATGACATTTCTCCCAATTTCCTCAAAAAGTGGCTTGATTTTTATTATAAGACGTTACCAGTAATCAATATTCCAGAAGGTGATAAGGTGTATATCAGTCCTAGGTACCGGTAAGTTGTTATTCCAGTGATTCATCCAAGTCAAAGCTATTGCCAAAAGAAAATAATTTTCAAGTTACATATTTCATTTATAGTTTCTTTATGATTTGTTGTGGAAACAGATTTCATGCAAATGAAGTTTGTTGGTGAGATCTTGAGGAGGTGTGGTGGTTTCTTCATCAGACGATCATTTGGTTCTGACCGTCTCTACTGGGCAGTCTTCACAGAGTATGTTCAGATCAACCTTACTAACAGTGAGGGTCCTCTGGAGTTCTTTGTTGAAGGAACCAGAAGCCGAACAGGAAAGTTCCTATCACCAAAACTAGGTAAGGAGACAAAGATCGAAAAGTTCATGCTGATTTCAACAATGTTGAACCCATGAGATGAACTCAATCCAAATGAATCTTAGATTTGATAAATAGTCCCACAACTTGTTTAAAACCATCTTTTAAAAAATTATGTCATTCGGTTCCTCTAGGAAGACATACAAGCTGTCATATAGTAAGTGTCATTGCACTACTCACAATTTATAGTCTGATCCAGGGTACTTCCTTTGAAGTAGGAGATTGCACTCTGTTGCATTGAAACTAACAATTGTTCTTTCCTTACTTATCTCATGAATTTGCATAATGATTAACCATATGTTGATTGATTTATGACTCAAGAGGATAGCTATGCCATTGTTCTGTTTGTATGCTTGAACTGAATAAACACCCGCTGACAGTCACTGACATACATGTATTTGCATTTTTAATCTTATAGTGATTAAAGCTCTTACACATGGCCTTGCACTTAGATGTGTTTAGATTTCACGTCTTCCTTATTGAATGGAGTGTAAAATCATAATAAATGGGTAATCAATATCTTTAAATTGTATATTAGTCGATTAACTTTGGTTACCTTTTGTTACTTCAATGAAATGTAAACAGCAAATGGTGTTGAGTGTGGGCAGTAAATTGTACTACATTTATTTATTGGTATATAATGATCGACCAGCAGCACAAAGCTGAAAAGGTCAATTTACAAAAAATACAGTGATGTATATAATAAATACATGTACAATAGTTTAACAAAGCTTATAGTAAATAAATCAGTAACATAATGACAATACCAATGACAAATAATTGTTAATTGGATGTCACCCTAGGAGGGTCTTGTCTTTTTTCTTTTTTTCCTCTCAGACAGATATACAAAATTGCCTCATTGAATCACTTTTTCAATATAGAAATAAATTTTGAACCCATTCAGAAATTTGAGCAAAAAAAATGAAAATTCCACCCTTTGCCACTATATTGTAAATACAAAAGAAAAAATTGGAACACCTACAGGAATTTGCACAAAATAAATGAAAATCTCATACGTCGCTACTACACAGTAAATAAAGAAATAAGATGTGGAACCCCTCCAGGAGTTGGAGAAAACTGATGAAAGATCCCATATCTAGCTGCTATAATTTGGGTGTTTTAGGAAGTACTAAAAGGTACTAAAGGGTATTTTGTTTTGTTTACTATGAATATTTTATATTTCTACAGGTTTGCTGTCTGTTGTTGCTGAGCCGTTTCTGAAGGGTGCAGTTCCTGACGTTACACTGGTACCTATCAGTATCAGCTATGAAAGGATTGTAGAGGAGAAATTACATGCTCAAGAGATGTTAGGCATACCTAAACCTAAAGAATCAACTTCAGTAAGTGATATTACATGCTCAATGTACTCTTTATGTCACGGTTATGGCTTTGGGATTTCAGATATACACATTTGGATTTGTGTACAAAACCAGTAGAAGCAATGTTATTTAGGGAGTGAACTGAATTGGAAAATTGGAAGGCAACTCATTATAAAGTATTGTAGATTTGGTTTCATAGAGTTGAAGAAGAAATGTAACACTTCAATAACCTCTGCAACCTCTTAAAGTGACTTGGGAACATTGCCTCAGATTCTGAAAAGAAATCCTGGATTTAGCTCATGCTGCAATCATAATTATAAACCTTTAGGTCAGTCAGATATCCCATGACTTTTACAAGCCGCTCGCCTGTCTGATTATCAAGATATTTATGATTGGAAATTAAAATTTCATTTTTGTTTTCCTAACAGTTTTTTTTTATAATACTACAGTCTATTGGGGAAAATAAGTATGCTAAAACCGATCATTCTGAGATTTTTACTTTTTTGAGGCACTTCATGATCATTTTGAAGCGCAATTTTTTAGGGCTTCAATATTACACCATATCACAGACACTGATAACACATAGGGCCGTGCATCTCAGATTTAACATTGTTAAACAATTATTTTAAAGCAATATAGTGTACAAATAATTTATTTTTGCAAGTGCATTAGGGCATATCACCATTGCAAAAGTTTAAAAACATGAATTATATGGGTTCTTTTAAAGAATGATATATCCACACACAAGAATAAGAGTCAATATTGTATTTGTTTTTTGCAGGGTTTGTTGAAAGCTAGGAGCATTTTCCAAGAGGATTTTGGTAGCATCGTAGTTCATTTCTGTGACCCTATCTCACTGAGAGATCAGATGAAATCCATTGATCGATCCAGACATAATCTTATCCCCAGGTAAGACAAACTCATCATTCTATTCAGACAGATATCAACCGTCTTTTCCTATAGATCCTCTTTACAGAATATGCAATACTGTAAGGACAGTTCATAAATTTGCTCATTTTTATTCTTGAGCACCTTTTCAGCTATCCAGATTTAGATCACAGTTATTTTGTAAAGGTTTATTTCTTTGCATGATTTCCTTTTTATATGATATGAGCATATTAAGAACATGGTAATATTATTAGCACATTATCAATTATACTTTTTAGTTATTTGATCTTAAAGGTGAAATTCAAAGAAGATCACAAATATGTCAACTAATGTATCACTAGAAACTGGTAAGCTAACAGATGGCCATCGGACAAATTTTAGGTCAACTACATATCGGGTGATTTATAAAAATACAAATACAACCACCTCCATAACAGCTGGGATATACGAGCGATTCGCCTGAAAAATAACGATGTTTTAATGACGTCACTATATGGACCAACACTGCCCAAGCAGACGACATCCCATAGAGAATGAACATAAATGCAAAGCTATTATTTCTCAAATTATAATGAGTTTAGTGTATATAAATGTAATGGCATGTCAAACCATTCAAAAGGGGATATGACCCGATTCTGATTACTAAAATCTTTTGCTTGTAAATACACAGGATAGGGGTTAATTAAGAATCAAAGAAACCAGACTTTCAAATTGAAAACCCCTGGAATGATATTAATTAGGACGACATTTGTTCCCTCTTGAAACGCCAAACATACCCCGGTGTGTGCAGCTGAATATACAATGGCGTCTTATTTTGTTTACAAGCGACAGATTCCTTTATTTTTGTATCGCTGCATTTGTCATCAAAATAAAACCATGCGCGGGGTTCAGAGTGAGGCAATAGATTATACATTAGCCTGACGGTAGTGAAGTAAGAGAAAGAACTCAAGAGAAGATGAAAATACAGGCACTGAAAATGTGTGAGATGTCATGGGACATCGTCTGCTTGTGCAAGTCATGTCCATACTGTGATCTCACACATCTCAGCAGCGTTCGGAGAGCTCTTCAGGTGCTATACCGGGGCTGTGTTTAAGCGTTTTTTTTATAATTTATAATAATCATTACTTCGAATGTTTCCAAGCATTGAATTTTGATAACCTTGTCGAATCAAAGTTTCAACTTTGCAATAATGAAAATAAAGTTAGTTTTTAAAATCAATGAATATCTACTTTAAAGGACTCTCACATAAGTAAAGCTTGAAGGTGTGACAGCTCCTGTGCAATTTTACTGATTCTCGGTCCTATTTGGCGATCTAGATGTAAATTTTTTTCAGTTTGTGTTTGAAGGCTTTTGAACCCTTCTTTGTCAATCCTCTAAACTGATTTATAATAATTCAGAGTATACATTACTAATGTACTTTGGCAAGACATTATTCTACATTTGCCACACTCAACCCAGGTGAAGTAAATGGGTACCTGGTAGGATTATTCCTTGAAATGCACTGTGCGCTGATAACAGCTGCCGGAGCTAAAGCTAGGGTAATAATTTCCAAAGCTCTTTGGAAGCGCATAGGGACATTATATATATAACATGATATGCACTATACAAGAACTGAATATTAAAGACTGTCAATACTACTGGGCAAGAAGGAATTAGACTACCCAGCCATGTCGCTGACAGGTGGCTATCTCATCAACTCAGCTCTCAACTAACTTAAGAAAAAGAGGACCATGGGGGACCAACAGGCACCGATTGGGGAAGTTTTCTATATTGAGGGAGCAAGTAGCTACAAGTAGGACAGTGGGGCTTTAATATCATTATTAAGAGAGATCATTGCATTCCTTAAGATTTTCTGGAAGATTCTTCTGAAGGCATGACTCTTTGCATTTCACATCCTTTTCCCTGTCATCTCTTGTAAACTAATATTCCTCAGGTTCATATTCTCTGCAACCCCAGAGGAGCAGAGGTTGATTGGTAGTGTTGCTCAAGATGTGCAGCAGGTCCAACGAGACCACATGATCATGTCACCATGGGTACTGTGTGCTGCCTGCTTGCTTCAACGGCCTGACTCCTACACTCTAAGGGAACTCACCAGTCAAGTAGCATGGCTCAAGGATATGATCAGACAGTACGGAATTCAGGTCGACTGGCCAGGTAATGATATTTGTATGCCTCCACTACAAAGTAGCCGGAGGCATTATGGTTGTCCGGGTTGTCTGTCCATACGTCCCGTTCTTGTGATCGCGTTATCTCAAGAACTGATTGATGGATTACTTTAATTTTAAAAATTGCTTCTGTTTTGGTTTGTAAAATCGCTCTATGGCGGAGGCCAGTCGAAGTTCCATCTAGTTATCTCTGTCTGTTTTATGTATCCTTAGGATAATTAAGATTTAAGATGTATCCTATTCATTTCTCAAATCCTGTTGGTAAACAAAAATGTACGTGCTTTATTTCTCAATCCGCTTTTCTTTGATCAATGCTACAGTTGGAACGGGAGCTCAGGACATCATCCATTCAGCATTTAAGATTCACCACAGCCTAGTCAAACAGCACAAAGATGGAGAAATAACTTTCAGCCGTTCTCTACACAGTCCAAATGCCTCTGTGGATACATCAACAAGAGAGGGCGTGCTAACACATGCAGCTGTTCACATGGACATTGCTATGTATCGTAATTACCTGGCTGCTTCCCTTGCTGTGCAGGGGTTGGTGTCTCTCTCCTTCTGTGGCTTAGACAAATGCTCTCAAGGTAATGATAATAATTATTATAAAATATGAGATTTGTAAGGCCCGATTCAAAGCAAAGGCAAATGTAGTTATAAGAGTTGTTTGGTTTACTCCATCTTTGAGAAATGGTCTAAAATATTTGTCAACTGCCTGCAAGAAGGCTATATTGGTGTAACAGGAAGGCAGCCAATGGATTGTGATGATGCGTGATATAGTGAACACATTGTTAGCAAAATTAAGTCATTGGTTCATGCTACCAATACATATTGTCATCATGTCATCTTAATTGTCTTTGTCAAGTTTTCTTGTAATGCTTAAACTTGTAATGTCCATTATGATGCTTTAAAATTCCTGTTATCCATAACCCCTTAGCTGCTTTTACATAATGATCAACATGAAATTCATAATGATCATCATGTATATAACACATTTTACATGAGACAGATGCCAGTATTCAAACAATTGAGAATTTCTTCCTTTTACTTTGTTCACAGATGAGCTTTATGAACAGTATCAGTTCCTTGTGAAGCTGTTTACTGAAGAATTCACATCAAATCCCAGCCATTCAAAACAGGTATGAATTTTTTTTCTTTTTCTGCAAAAATGAGCCAAAATAGATGATTTTAATTTGGTGTGAAGTGTTATTTGTACATGTGTTTCACTGTTTTGTTGTTGTTGTTTTTTTTCTTCATTTTATTTTATTTTTATTTTTAAATTTATTTATAAGTGTTCTCCTATCATCAAAATATTACATTTAAAGTTATATATATATATATATGACATTTGAGGATGGAAACATGCATTGATTTCATGGTAAATTTGTCTTTGTTCTCATTCAGAAATTTGATCGCACTGTTTCCCTATTGGTTGCATGTGGTGCATTAGACCATGATAGAGAAGAAGTGAGAGTAACTGCCAAGGGAGAAAGAGAGATTGCTTTCTTCACAGACATGATGTCACCGTTTCTTCTTGGATACTGGGTAAGGTTGCCCCCTCGTAGGTTTCTCATGTATTAGTCTTTTGGAGGGTAATACTTGGAATTACATTAGTCTATATAACTGTATGATGTAGTAAAGTTAAGGATGAATGCACTTTATTTCACAATCAATTGTAGAATTAGAAGCAGAAACCTTTAATGATTAATCATGATTTACACAATCTTATATTTTTTTTTTGTATGTCAATTTTTCTAATACTTCAATTTTTTATTTTTTTATAGAATATGTGCCAAACACTACTTTCTAACATATTTTTCTCTGTTAACTTGAACGTACATCCAAACAATGCATAAAAGTGCATGAATCGCTATCTTTTAAAGTGTATTATATCTGATTTTCTTCCTTGTACTAGCTGGTATGTCAGTACCTGATGGCACATCCTTCATCTCCTCAAGGTGTGCCGATCAAACAAACTGCTAAAGATATCCAGATGAGGATAGCTACTATCATCTCACAGGGTGAGTCTAACTTCTTCAGGATTTATGCCTCACTTATGTTTTGTATTGATTTGTGTTGATATTTTTGTCCTGTATTCAGGACAGTGATTAGGTGTACATTCTGAGCAGCTACGTTTTATTTATAAGGCCATTGTGTCAATACTCCTCTAGATGTCCTTGTAAATCTTGAAATGTATTTAGTATTGCAAAAGTGTTGATGCTGTGGCCAATCATCCTGATTAGAAATCAGTTGCAAAGATTATTTTTATAGTTCTGTCATCGTAGATGTCTCTATATCTGGTTTTTTTTTTTTATATCATACTGTCATTGAATAAGAGTATTATTTCCAGACTGTATAACAAAATACATAACACATATGCAAGTTATGATAAAGCATATATGTCACTCATCTTGCTATCACTGTATCATTGCATATTAATAAACAAAGTACATTTACGGTTTATGTTTTCCCTTAATTTCCAGGTAAATTGCATCACTATGAGATACTTTCTCTGAATTTACTCACCAATGCACTGACTGCCCTTACGCATATGGGCATCCTAGTCAGAGAAAAGAGGTAAATAAACAATCAAATCTTTCATTTTATTTTACTAAGAGCGCTCCTGTTTTTATTGGTTTGTTGTCTAAACACTCACTAAATACAGTTGTTGAGGTATTAAACAGAGTGCTATTTGATTCAATTGCCATCCCACTTTAATGCCATAAAAATTGTGATTTTCCAGGATCTTTATTTTGAAATGGATCATTAATAGCAATTACTGTAAATGTTTACTTGAGTGTTACCAATATTCTATCAGTCTCTCAACCTGCCGTGCTCTATGTGCATGTGTGTCTGTCATTCTCGCTCACTCTCTCTATTGCTATCCTCCTTTCACTCTTTCTCTCTCTTTCTCTTTCTCTCTCTCTCTCTCTCTCTCTCTCTCTTTCATTGTACCTTTATCATTCCCTAGTTCATTAGTTCACCATCTCTTCTGTATTATCTTTGTCCCCATATCTTTCTGTTTTCTTAGTTTCAGTCTTCTCATAATGTATCACTCCCTCTGACATTTACTTGTGCTACCTTTTCTTATCCCGCCATTATTTTTCTCTTTCTATCTTTTAATCCCTTTGTTCGGGTATCTCCCATATCACTTAATGTATTTTGACTTTCTCCTCATCTCTCTCTCTCTCTCTCTCTCTCTCTCTCTCTCTCTCTCTCTCTCTCTCTCTCTCCAGTGACAACGGACCTCTCATCTCCTGGTCTGCAGAGTCAGTTTCTAGAGTAGCAGACAAGATCAGTGAGTTCCTTATTGTAATGCATATCATCATATGAGAGCCACAATGGCATAGACTCATACACATACTTAATACCCTTCTACGCCTCAACAATCAGAATTACTTCTCTGGTGAAATGTGAAATCTAGTCTTATTGGAAATGAAATGTTTTTTTCTGAAATGCTACAAACAGTATCAGTCATATTTACAAAAGAGATCTTGTGATGGTATGGATACTCAATCTTTTTATTCTGTTTGATCTTATTCTGTTGCAGGTGAGTTTATTCAGGTACCAACAGACATGACATCATTCTCCCAGCCAGGTGAAGTAGCCCTGACAGCCAAATTATGAAACCCTTCACAAAGTAAGCGCATGCTACCAAAGAGTTTTAGTCACAGCTTTGAAGTAAAGAAAAGTCATGGGTTATATTTCTTTTTAGGTAATCTAACACAGTTATTTGACTGTTTCATGCTACAGAATATTGTTTGCATCATAAGTCATAGGTTATTTCTACTTTTCTAGGTATTCTAATACAATTACTTTTAATGAATGAAGATCCAAATTTATGTAATTGCCGACCAAATTTTTAAACCCTGATTTTCTGCAGTATTTTGTGATGTCAGTATTATGAGCCACAGATGAATTTTCAGCAAAATTTTATGGATTACACAAAGCCAAACACAAGCAATAATTTTAGAACATGACACTTTTTTATGAGCCGTAACGTTTTAGTGGTTCACTTATGCCTGATTAAATTTGAATTTGCTTTTCATTTTCAATTAAAATGAACATTCATTTAATGTCACATTTCATGTATTCAAGCAAAATATTGTGTCTCTGATTTGATAGCTTATCATTTTTTTAAACTTCTCTAACATAGACAACCTGTAAGTGAATTCGGTGCTGAATGAGAGCTTTACAAACCCTTTGAATTGAGTCATAGTGTAACAGAGATATGACCAAAGAAAATCCTACAATTTTACTTTAGGGTTTGATATTATGGTCCCTTTTTTACATCACAGTACATGAAGTGTTCAATGGCCTTTACTTAATGATGTTCAAAGATTTGAATTGAATATTATAGTCATCTCTTGGGCATGATTTTCAATACGTTAAGTCAATTTGTGCAATTTAAGTTCTGCTCAGAAAGTATGCATTGATATGTATTGTGATGATTTTAAGTACATTATTAAGTCAGTTTGATAAACTGGTTATTGAGGAAAACTGGTGTGTCTATTTTATGAAAATGTTGAAGATCATGGCAGTAACTATTATGTGTGAATTGTAAATCTTACTGAATGATAAACTTACTCAATTTTTAAGAAGAGGAAGATAGTGCCAAGTTGCTGCATTCATTTTTTGTCCTTCACAGGGTATTACTTATTATATGAATTGTCTAACTTTCATGATTATTATATATTTTTATCATGTCATATCATATATGACTTATTTGTAAGTAATAGTGGTCCAATTTGAGTTTCATTTGATGTAAAAGCACAATGATATTTTGACTTAAATCCAGATCTGATAGCTAAAAGCCTAACCAAACAGGCAATAAACGACACAAATAAAAACATTTAAAATGTCTTTTTCATGAAAATGTTCTGTGTTTAACTGAAATTTTGATGCCCGTATATATTTTTGTATAGATATAAAAACGAAATCTCAAGAAGAATTATATACATAACTGAGTAGACAGAGCAGAATTCCAGAAAGGATTTAAACAGTGTGTTGTATTCTTAAAGGTAAAGACCAGTTATGGTCATGCGATTGCATTGTGAAAGAAACGTTGTAGATAAACTAATTTACCAAATTTATCAATTAGTAGGCAGTTTCCCGGCAAATTTTTATCATCATGTATTAGTCAAAACATATTCTTTCACATGATTGGTAATAAGAGCTTCCCTTTCATTTTTTGAAATTGGGGCATTTCCAATAATGGTCTTTACCTTCAATCAATGGTATGCTTATTCAGACCTGCTAAGTTGGAAGTTCTTTTACATATGCTACAAAACCACCCCAAAAGATTAATATTTCATTCGCATATTGACTCAACAATTTTCATGGACTTGAATTTCAAATTTTTCTATGTGTATATTATCAAATAAATCTGTATATGTTTGTATGTAAGATATGTGCAAGTCAACCACTTTGGGTGATGGGTTAAACCCAATGCAAATATCTATTACTTCTATAATTGTCATATTGTATTTTTTGTTTCAGATGAATATTGTGTTTAATTCAAGCTTTGTTGATTGTACCAAATTGTGCATTATACCGGAAGCCTTCATTCTGTTTTTTACTAATGTGAATAGATACATGTACTAAAGTGTACTGTGATACTTGGTCTACCCACTCAACTTGTTTCAGAATAGAACTGTAAGAAAGCCAGCCTATGTTCATCTCTTTCTCTCTCTCTCTCTCTCTCTCTCGTTCTCTGGTCAAGAATTCTTTTGTATATATAAGTAGATAACACATGATTTGATAATTGGATACAAGGAAAGTGCTTGTAAAGTACAAATGCAAAGTACTGAAACATTAATTTATTTCAGAGAAGAGAATGTATTGTCCAGTGTAGCATCCTTAGAGGTGCAATTCAGAAGTAATCCAAAAAGATTAAATGTGTGCATTGTAATTGATAATCTTTTTTACAACATTTTTATTAAATATTTTGGAAAGTAGTACTGTTTAATTATTAATTTTCAAATAATTCCACATTTTATGGGCAAACAAAGGACCTAATGAAGATGCAACTAGTACATTCTCATCAAAATTACAAGTGTATAAGAACCCACATTTTCTGAACAACAATACCACTTTCTGATGCCCAGACTGTCAGTGCATGAAGTAAAATAATGAGAGTAATCATTGATTACTTGTGCAGTCTAATGTGATTGCTTTATGTAGGACTGTGTTTGGACAACATCTATTATTTGTTATTTTATATACTGTATTCAATCATGATGATAATGTTTTTTCTATCCATAGACAAATCTCAATCGATTAATAAATTATGCTAATTTATTACCAATTACCTATCTCTAATTTCATTTCTTTGTATATTTATAGTATCTTGTGACAGTGATAGGTGTTATTTGATACTTTTGTAGCAAGTGTTGCATCTCTTAACTAGTTTTGTATGTGTTTAAGATGTGTGTGAGTGAATACATGTATAATAGAATAGATATGACTTTGTCAATGATCTAAGGGGAAATGTAGGGCCTACTAAAGAGTTGTAAATCAGCTATCCAATTATGAGACAATTTCACATCCATATAGTACTAGTAAATGCCTTGACATTTTGTTGCTGCTTAAAGCCCCTTTAAAGGTGTTGGGAACTCCTAATTCACCAACAAAATTGATGGTAACATTTTACTTAAAGTGTATCATAATGTGAAAGAGGATATCATTTAAGACACAGCTGCAAAGATTCCCCCCCCCCCCCCCAAAAAAAAAAAAAAATGTGTTTGAAGACAAACTGATAAAAGAATACGTAATTTGGGTTTTCTGTTGTATGCAGAGAACCTAAATTTTGTATACATCAATATATTCAACTTCGACATTTTTTTTTTTGGGGGGGGGGAATTCTTTGCAGAAATGAGTTTTAAAAGACATCCTCTTTCATATTATAATACAATTTAAGTGGAATTTTGCCATCAAATTTGTTGGGCTCCCAACACTTATAGAGGAGCATTAACGTTAATTTTGGAATAGCGCCATCTTGTGTCATCAAATTTACAGATTTATCAGGGGCAGAGGGTTCCGTTTGTATTGTATAGCGGTATAATTCTCATCAAATAACCCCCCCCCCCCTCACTCTCTCTCTCTCTCTCTCTCTCTCCCTCTCTTTCTCTCTCTCTCTCTCTCTCTCTCTCTCCCTCTCTTTCTCTCTCTCTCTCTCTCTCCCTCCCCCCTCTCTCTCTCTCTCTCTCTCTCTTTCTCAGACTCTCACTCTGTTGATGTCTTTCCCTTCATGCTCTCATTTATTGTAATATACTGAGCCCCCTTTCGTTATTTCGTCCATTAGTATTCTTAAGTTCCCTTTATCTTGTTATTTTAAAGATGTGACTTTTCATTTCATCAGGTTGTAGCAATTCTTACTTTCTACGTCCTGATTTTAGTCCATGCCATTCCCTCCTCGCCTGCACCCTTGCCCAAACCCGAAGCAAGCGATTTGAGCTGCCGGTTACATGGTGACCCCTCCCCCAAATTAGAAGAGCCTATACAAGAGTACATCATCTTCCTATTCCCTACAGGGCTATAGTGACATGGGACTTGCCATTATAAAGTACACAATATTCGCGATAGAGAACAAAATAAAAAAATATCATCGCATGCGCGCCATCTCTTTCGCGATTTGGAATTGTTTGCATTATATTTCGGAGCTCGACTCCGGGGAAAATTAGCACACGATGGCCTATTTCTTTTTAATATAGGGTAAACAAGAGGAATATTTTTCAAAAAGTGGGTCGCGACAACAAACCAAGTAGAGGATGGTGAATGGAGGATGGAAAGGGGATATATTTGGAATAAGAGTATAGAGCAAACCCACATCCAATCGCAATATCACTGGGGAGTTAATGGAGATAGGCGTATTAGGCACCCACCGAGCTAGATTGGGACGCCACTTGAGGCGATTTTAGAACCAATTTATTGTCGTCACTCTAGTACATGTGATTGAACGGGAGAAGTACCATGTTACGCTTATATGTTATGATTAGTATAATTACATTGACCCAGATTTATCATGATGGTTTGGTGATTATGATAAACGTAACAGTCGTGGTATTAGAAGTAGTAGTATAGGCTCGATGGAATTAATCGTTAATTACAATGTGAATAACGGGAATTTCTTAAAATACACATCGATCTAAGTAGAGGGAGAAAAGTATATTAAGTACGATAGAAAGAGTAGAACATCTGGGAAAATATATATGTTTTTACAATTGTCATTATGAGTACAGAGTTATAGTGAAGGATTTACATTTTCCTAAACTATGAAGAAGAAGAAAGTTGAACAATATTTTCAAGTTATTCAAAAACAGATTTTAAACAATTAAAAGTTCTACCCCTAAATTTTTTCAATACAAATACCAAAACTTACATATTAAATAGGCTTTCTAGGTGAACAAACAGAAACAAACAAAAACAAAAATTACAAACAAATGCCAACGATTATGAATAAAATGACGAATTCAAGCAAGGTGAAATTAAAAATATATTGAGTGTAATAGATTAGGAATAATACGCTTAATGGTGTATAGGAGCGAAGACGGTAAGAGCCCAGAGTGCAAGACTATTTCCCCTTCCTTTTCAGTCAAAGACTTAATAATATTTAAAGCAAGAAAGAGATTGTAGAGGGAACAAATATTTGAACTCTCTGCTGATCAAAATTCAAAATCCATTTTATTCCAAGAGTCACTATTCCCGTTGTTGGTGCCAGGGTCTCGAAAAATGCCATCCTGAAAAATAGCTATGCATTCCATCCTTCGCGTTTGGCAGTGTATCGCATATTACTGCATATTGCTGGCGTATCATGTATCAAATGCAATATGTTCGCCCAAATAAAGTGATTAGATAATTTTTTGGAGTCGTGTAAGTGATATCGTGCAGACAATGAGACTATAAATTGACATGCAGAAGAAGGGACAAGAAAAGAGTACCAGAGTAATATAGTGCTGCAAGGTCATTTCTTTATGAAGTGATATTGGAACGCCGTTTTATAGGTATTTTTTTAGAAAGACATATCGATATTAACAGCCGTCTTTTAATCTCAGAGTGTATTTCATAATTGCATCTGCTTAACTATATTACGTTTTTCACCTTCATTAAGAAGAAGGGTGATTCATTTTTTTGTCATTATTTTTGTAGTTAAGAGGCACATTGATAACATGGCATATTCGTATAACACTGATTGTGACAAGGTTCTAGGGGTTGATAATGGAGTGGTTATGGTGATGTGCGTTGTTGTTGTTGGAGGTGGTGGTAGTGGTGGTGTTGGTGGTGATGGTGATGGTAATTATGGGGTTATGTGGCAGTGGTAGTGGTGGTGG